CACACACAGAGCTGGATGTGGACACCAGCAGAGGGCAGCAGAGTGTCACTACCAAGCACAGCAGTTAGCCATAGCTCTGGAGATTAATAGTACATTAAAGAATATGTTTTGTTGTTTAAAAGTAGTAGTAATAATAATAATATGTTGCTTTTATTCTTGTCAATAGCATATTTATCACTGTACAGTACCAAAATGTGCCTTAAAATGACAATATTGTTCATTTAAAATGTAACAGTGGATCCCTAAAGAGTCACTTTTAGGAAATCTAACCAGGATACATTGTCTCGCGCAGATCTGGGACACTTTTACTAGTTTACGTCAGATAATACTATTTTTACTAGTAAAAGTGTCTCAGAATATAATATTTTACAACAGTTAACATCTTCGTCTTGTTGTCATTTGTAAAGACTAGTAAACATGGCTATTCGTCTTTAACATGTGGCGCGCGTGCAGAATGCAGTATAATCAGTGGCCGCTGTTTCCAGACAGTCCAGACGCCTCTCCGAACTTGCTTCACTTCTCGCTGTGTTGGACATGTTCTTAGCAGCGGGTCCCGTGCGTGTGGGAGGGGAACTCTCGCGGGATTTCGCGTGCGGTTGTGAGGGGAAGTCTCGCGGGATTTGGCGTGAGGCGGCGCGCGCTGGCTGCGAGTCAGTGCAGTCGACTTACAGCGGGCTGTGAGGAGAACTGGCGCCACCCTTTTGTCCCCAAATACAACTCTTTTCATACGCTAAAACTTCTTGAAGTTTCTTTAAACTCGCGCTCGAGTACTTACACTCGCTTGGTTCTCGAGGAGGTCGGGTTAAACTAGTTGTTTTCGCTCTGTTTGAAGTTAAAGGCTGGGCCTTTACTCGCGCTCCCGACGAGAGAGAGAGAAGAAGCCGCTCTTTCTGCGATTAAAAGTCCATCCATGCTTTTTACCAAAATGGACCTGTTGAACTACCAGTACTTGGACAAGATGAACAACAACATCGGCATCCTGTGCTACGAAGGTAACACACAAACTCTTTCTTCCGCGCTCTCGAGTTAAAAAAGAAATGAAATAGTTGTGGGTGAAAATAACGGACGCCGGTGACGTCATCGCGCCTCTGCGTCCCCCGCGAGCGCCTCTCGGTGTGTTTACTTCTGACGTAGAGGTCTGCTTAAAGTGGCTAGTTTCAGAAGAATGGCCGAGTTCTGAGCAGAGAGAGTGTTGTTGCTAGCTTCTGTACAGTTTCTGTGTACTGTATGACATGCTAAACCCCGCGTTTAGCTGTAATTATGCAGTCTGCTTTTAAGAGCTCATTAATGAGGGAATACACGGAGTTTTCGTAATGTTTACATAGACTAGTAAAGGCTAAACGTGTTTAAAATGGTAAGCAATTGAAGAGTTCAGATGCAAAAACCTCCAAGTGGCAGATGAGTAACGTTATTTTCTTGTGTAGGTTCAGTTATTACACTTTAATGGCAGTTAATATTGCCATTAAAGTGAAATTACTGAACCTGCAGCCTGAGAAAAATGCTCATCTTAGAAGAATATTTCAAATGGCACTGAACCTGCAGTTCCCAACAAAGGTTGCTGTGAGGTTTTAACACGCTTTAAACGTCCAAGAAAATACAGACTTGCTGAAGTGTGAAATTCAACAAGTAGGCTGAAGGAAGCGTCATTTTCCAGTTGATGTCTTTTCTTCAGGTGTTCATATGTGAATGGTGTCTGTGTGTCAGAGAAAGTCATGCCAGAGATACGTTTTCCCTGAGGAAGATGGGTCAATGAAGTCATCAGCTTTCACCTGTAAATACTGAAGACCTCCTCTAATCACATCATCAGGGCTCGACAATAAGAACTACCTGATGGCCCGGGGTCGGCGTGAAAGACGTTCGGGACAGTAGACGATTTGTCGCTTGCCCAATCGGGCCACTGCAGCGTCGTCGTAGGCTAGTCTAGTATGCAGAGTTTTGGTTCATGCATTTTTATGGTGCATGCGTGAAAGGAAACCAAGACAGCAGAAAGCAGCATCTAGGGCTGCACGATTAATCAAATGCGATTGTCATGCACATCTTGTCAGTAAAGCCGGTTCTGTGATTCGTAGTAAATCTCCATCACCTGCTTTCAGATGGAGCAGCATTTACTACACAGAGCCGTAGTTCTCTGACAAGCTACGCAAAAAAATAGCAGACGATATAATCATACGATTATGAAATCGTTGGCGATAATGACAGCTGTTTACGTAGCTTCTCAGTGAACTACGGCTCTATGAAGTAAATGCTGCTCCATGTGAAAGCATGTGAAAATACCACATTTAATAACATGTTTTTACTCCAAACTCACTTTATAACGTCAGTCGAGTGTTTGAAATAAATCCTTCTGTGAGATGATGTGACTTACACAGAATAAGGCATGCAATATTTCATAGTATTCATTATACTTAGCATTGCATTATAGATATACTTTATTATAATGAAAATGATAATAAGAACTCGGATAAACTATATATTGCCGTAGTCGTGTGTTTATTAGTCACGCTGAATCAATGAAAGCAGTTGAATCTTCTGTTTATTCAGCTGCAGCGGGTTCTGGGTTTCTTCTGCGAGGCGTATTTGGAGTTTCTCTGGCCTTCGGATGCAGATTTACTGCTGATCACAGAACTGTGCTTCACTGAAAGATACGCATGACAATCGCAGCTTCTGTCTAATCGCGATTTCAGTTTAATTTAGATTTATCATGTAGCCCTAGCAGAATCTTATTTTTGTTTATTTTATAAAAGATTTTTTATTGTGAATGTACACATAAAAGCAAACCTTTTACAGTTTTGAGTAGGGATGCACGATATATCGGCCACCATATCGGTATCGGCCGATAAATGCAAATTTTTTCTGTTATCGGTATCGGCCTGATAAGAAAATTTGGCCGATATCTTAAAGCCGATAAATAATGCATTTTTTCCTTCAGAGACACTTCAGATGCGCGCTGTTCGTTTGCAGCCTTTTGTGCAATTGTACGTTGTAATATTGTGTTTATTTGATGTATATCTGATTTATCTCATATAGAATGCGTTTGGTTAAGTTAAAAGAGCGCTTCAGTTTACCGGTGATCATCTTTAGCTCAGCACACGCAGCTCAAACAGCAGTGCACAACATTAATAACTATGATTGGGAATGTCGTGTATATAACATTCTAATGAGAACATTATTATAATAAAACGTTGGGAATTCTTTGGGTTTAGTTGCCGTGTTTCAGCGCGTTGTTATGGGAAGAGCGCATCCACAACAGGATCACACATTCTGACTATAGCATGCAATAACTGCGTCATTTTGTACATATATAAGTTGTAATATTATGTTTATGTGGTATTAATATTAATCTCAGGATGCATTTCCTTGAGTTAAATAAGCTGCCAGCAAAACACTTCAGTTTACCGTGTTCATTCAGCTCTTCAGCTTCAGCACGCGCAGCTCAACGGCTGCTATTTAAAACAGTGGTATTAATTTGTTACTTTTTCAAAATCATTGATATATTATTAATAACAACAACCACTTGTATTGTTCTCTTATTATTTTCATCAACAATATGGTTTAGTAATTAAAATCATTTAATTATTGTCCGTGCAGAGGCTATTCCGTTTTATTGATCTATGGCACATTCATTTTGATTCTTTACACGTGTAATGATGTCCAGTGACTTGTTTGCATTATTTATGCATAATTTTATTTATTTGTAAGGCTTTTTTATGACTAAATTTGGTAATGGGAGAGTAAAAATATTTTTAAAACGTACACCGTTCAAACTAGGCTGCTTATGTTGAAGTGTTTGGGATGTGGCTTTTAATGATGAGACCTTTTTTGTAATCAGGCTCTCAAAAAGTATATAACAATTTGGATATAGATTTATCGGCCAACATATCGGTTATCGGCTTTCAAAAATAAAGAATAATCGGTTATCGGTATCGGCCAAAATTTTCATATCGGTGCATCCCTAGTTTTGAGTATCTGTATGACTAGGAGTAGTTGTTTCCATTGTTAGAAGGAAAAAATTCCCGAGTGATTGCGCAGGCAATGTCGAATGTGAGACCCAACGTTGGTTTCATTTTCGTTTTAGCCTAAATGAATTTGTTTTGGCTTGTCCTATATCGTTCTTTTCTGAATAGGCTACTGTTAAATTAAAAATATTTGCTGTGGAGTTAAGGGAACTAAAATAGTCTAGACTATGCTTATAATGTTTGTAAACCTTTCGCGTCGGCATTAGGCCTATTTCTGAATGAAATAATAAAATGTGACCTAGGCTACGCAACGCTTTTTTTTTTTAACGCAATTTTACTTTATTGGTCTCTAAGCTTAGCTTTTGTTTTGAGCTATTTTTATTAATAACTGGAAATACTTTTTAAACCGTTTAACTGATGGCCAAAATTCTTACTGTTGGTTAACGGTTAACCGGTTAAAATGAGCATCCCTAAACTAAACCTATTAATTTCTCATTTAGGAAACCAATCCTGGTCAAATATTGCTTTTGACAACACCTTGCCCTGGTAATGTTTGTTAAAAGCATACTGTCGTTTCACAACCCTGTTTCTGGATGCACTCCAGCAGTTCACATTTTGTTGTCTGTCTTATCTGACCCGTCTGTTTCAGGTGCTGGAGTCTGAGCTCATTTGAGCTGAATGAGTTGATCAGGAAGAGTGTAGTGTCACTGTTTCTCTTGGAAACACGGCATTCGACACCTGTCTCTGTACACGATTCCTCACTGATAACGAATGAATGGCCAATAACTTTCAGCCCACATCTCCTCATGGCTCTCTGGAGACTATCACAGATAGGCTATCGTGTGGACGTTTACGGTGCGCCGCAGCCTTTTCTCTATTAGCAGCTCCAGCCCTGCCACAATCAATGATGTCATCGCCGTTGCCATGGAGCGCGGTCAGACGAGCCGAAACATGCCAGTCTGGAAAATAGGTCGCTTGTTTTGGGAAGTACCTCGTGAGCTCTATCATTGCTTTACTTGAGGCTGAAGTCGAGTAAATGTGTGCATGGCTTATTTTATGAGGCTCGAGTGTGGGAGAGACACCTGGCCCGGTTATTTTTTACCATCTCTATTTATCATTTAACTCTGTAAATAACTGCACCAGTGCAGAAATCCAGGTCTGGCTCAATAAATGGATCTTATAAAGTTTCTCAGGCTTAGTGAACCTCCTCCCAAGTGGAAAGTCCCATTGGAGAGAGCGTGCCAGTTGTAATTTTCCGGCCTAACTCCTACACAGTGCCTGTAAATGCACCGAGTGCCCTTGTACTACGAGTGCATTACTTCTGCAGATTCTAGCGACTCGTTTGATTGCAAATCAAAGGCAGAGATTGATTGCGTTTACAATGCAAGTATTGAGACTTTGCCGTGTCCGTGTATCAATGCAGTGCCTTATATTTTTTAAATGCGTGCCTGCATCAGTCTAATGCTTTTTCTGCTCTGATGTGGAGGCAAGATACCAGTCAAGTGTTCTTAAAAGAGAAGAAAGTCATAGGAAGGCCTGATGAGTGAGTTTATTGTGATTGCTACCGTTCTTCTCTCTGTGATGTGATGGTTTTATGTTCTGAATATCAAGATCAAAGAAGTGGCCTGTATTGATGAGGAGCTTTCATGTGTAATATAATGCAGTGGTCGACTGGTGTGGGTTTTCATGGCCAGTACTGATATCGTGAGAGCTGAAGGTATATATTACAGCATATATATTATAATATCTTCAATGTATATGCTGTAATTCAGTGCAATTAACTGGTCACTTAAAACCAGTCAGGCAGCACCAAATGAGTGAGACGGCAAAATCCATGGATGTTTACTTGTGTTTTTAAATGATATAAATTGTGCATTATCTTTATTAGGGGAGAGATCTCAGCACATATTGATACATGGACACATTCTTTAGACAATATTCACTCCAGCTGACTTCTGAAGACAGAAATTATACACTAGAGCCCGACCGATATGGGTTTTTTGGGACCGATACCGATATTATGGAGTAAAAAAAGG